TATCTTTCTGCTGAAGAATTATTATTACTCATAATACTGTTATCAAACAGATGTATATCTTTCTGCTGAAGAATTTTAAACATCTTAATTTTAAACAAGCTTCTCCAGGTCAAATAGAAAAACCTTCTAGATATATTAACTCAGAATCAAACAGTTGTGCAACAGAGAACAGCTCTTCCAAAGTGTAATATTTAATTTAAGGAATATACAAATAATAATATTTACATTATTGTGTTAAATATTTAATTTGACTTACTAAAAACTTAGCAAAGGTTCTAAACCCTGAGTTATTCCTATATATACGGTAACAAAATATGCCAATAGGCATAAGTGGATATTCTAGGAATCGCCGGTATAACCTAACCTAACCGACTAAGAACTTACTGCAAAAGAACCAAACTTTAGTCTATATGAAAAATATTGCAAAAACAATATTATTAAATTAAGACAGCTATAAGAATTCATGGTACAATATATTATTATATTTTTATATTATATATATTTTAATACTGCATTCGAAAAATAAATAATTAAAAGTCGTTGTTTTCGGTGTGCAGATTTGTATTTTTATTTTTAATTATTATTGAGTTTGTAAAATATTTCAATTTATATTTGATTCCTTGAAAGTAGGCATCTCATTGTGTACAATAAAGAATCAAAAATTTTTAAGGTGAAAATTAACTAAATCAGCTACCTTGCCATCCTCTTCAAGCTGTTATATTCCAATCATAGTCCAATCCTAATATCATTTCCATCCACAACCGCATACATGTGCTCATACTATGATATTCTTAATTGTTAAAAATGGAATGGCAGCAAGCTCCACACACTCAATGCAGGCTTACCTGGCTCAGCCCCAGTTCTTAAGCCTAAATAGATTATTAGCGGCATAAAACCCCAATGGAAAGTGGTTTTTATTGCGGATACGACAGTCTTGACACGATTTTTGTATGACGGCTTAAACGCCATGTTGCCAAAAAGAATTTTAGTTTACTAGAAATCTATCAAGAGAGAAAATTAGCGCAACATATAAAAAGCAATTTTACGATAAATAAAATTTACGTGTAGTATATATAACTTTTTACAAAAACTTTGAAATAATTTTTCAAATCTTGGTAAATAGATTATTAAGAGAACTAGATGAAAAAAAGATATCAATAGGAATAAATCAGTTATAATATAAATTTATAATACCATAGACAGGGGTAAATACAATTCCATTAATTGTAAATATCAAGGATATATCATAAATGTATCTAATATGCAAGAAATTATATTTAGAGCAATAAGTACTGAAATAGTACTTTATGAAATACTTATAATCAAGTTTAGAGTTATAAACATTATAAACAAGTGGAAAAACTCTATGGTATATGCTCTACTTAGAAGCGGGCTTACTAACGTAATTCGTATACACAGTTCAAACACATTCCATACTGTAAGAAAAATTCTTTATTTCTCCTCCTCAAGGCTTCTTCCAATACTAGCTGAACAAAGGCCTATATTGGGCCAAAAATTGGAAAAATCAAGATTGACCTATCAATAACCAGTATTTCGAGTATAGATCTTAAGTTATTACAAAATAATGTTATAACGTTATACAAACGGAGTAAAAGGGTTTGCATTCGTCATGAAATAGAAAATGTATACCTATCATATTATTGGTGTATGTATGTATGTTGATCCTTTTCTCGAGTCAGCGCAACCGGGCACTTTTACTCTTTGATAGCTCGGGGTACTACAGGATCCCACCCATCTCATTGACTAAATTATATATTCCTTATAAGCTTCATGATTATTCAGTGATTGATCTAAAAGTGATTACTCTAAAATTAGATAGTGCTATCCTAGCCTGTCAGTTTTCGCATATAACTTCATGGCTCTGTCTCTTATGTATTTTTTGATCGGGTATATTCTAAAGTCTCCTAGCATGTCGTTTGTGCGGATGTACCAAGCCTTCGGAGAGCCTGTATGGCCGATATTTTATTTTAATAAAGTACTCTGCCTGAATAAGTCTGTAAGTTGTATAGACTTATTTAAAGTCCTGTTAAATGGTAGCAGTACTTATAACCTGCACAAATTTATTGAAGAATTCATATGAATGATAATGTTAATAATATGCACCACTTTCAGTATGCTAATCTGACTCACAACAAATATGTTATTGTCAATTTAGATTTAAAGTTACGTTCTATAATTTTTGTACGTGCTGTATGAATTTCTTTTAAACAAATAATAAATAAATAATAATCAAATTTAATATTTAAGTAAATATTTTCTAATAACCCGAAATAAGTAAACAAATAAGTTAATTGAATTTGGAAAGCATATATATATATGAAGAAATAAAAATATAATATAAAGGCGAACATATTTTATATGACATCATAAATTATCGTTAATCGCATTTTGTTTTGACAGGACAAAAAAAAGTCCTTGCAGTTTTTTCATTGTTTAACAATGCATAATGCTTATTCTATGCTCATTTTGTCAGCAACAATGATGCGACAAATATGTCCATCAGAGCATATGTAACTTTGCCAGTTGAACGCAGGATAAATACGATTGCCAGGATGATGAGCAGCAAATTTCACATTTTTCAATTATTTGTTTTGGCAGTCCTTTATGTGTCGCATTTAACATCAAGATAAATACAATTGAATAAATGCAGCACATATACATTGAAACTATTTCTGATAGTAAGGAGCCAAAGGACACCCAACATGCAGCAGCACAGTGTGGCGCAACGCAGAATGACATTGAAATGTCAACGAAATCGAATATATTGTAAAGCATCACAATGTAGTCAATAAGACAATATTGGCTATTTGTATGGGAACACTTCCGGTTCCGTTTTGGAAAATAATATTAGCAGTGAAAAGAATTTATTGTCATATGGTTGATGAGTACAAACTTCAAGGCGCCAAACTTAAATATGTTACTTAAATACGAAAATATTTTATTCAAGTAATTGAGGAGATTACAAAATTATTATAATTATAAAATTATTATAATTAAAATTATAAAATTATATTTAAAAAAATAAAAATAATTATAATTTCGGTGGCAACGTTTAAAATGGGCTGGTACATAACCAGCTGGTAAAGCTGTGGGAAAATAAAAAAGGAGGTTCTACCAGAAGATAGTTAAATGGAGTGTATGAGTTCCCACGAAGTAGAGAAATTATGGAATAAGATTACAAAAGAAAACAAATTGAATTACAGGAGAATATCGCGCGATTAGATATATTCTTTAAAAAAATTACAATAGAAAGATATAAAATGTAATTACATATAATTGTACTGTAGTAGCAGAGAGAATTTTTGGAAAACTTTTTAAGGTCCGAGTGATTGTAAATAAAAAATCTCAAAATAACAACCAATTTCGTGTTTGAATTTTGAACATAAATAAAATTTTTCTAAATATTGTGTACTGTTAAGATCGAAAATCTGGGATCCTTACTGTAACATAAAGTACAATTAAGCTGTATTTCTTGAAAATAAAACTAAAAGTTAAAGTTTTAAATAAGTTCAAAACCCAGATAATATGTCAAACTCCCACTTATTATTAGTTATATACATATTATATATTACAAATATTATGTCATGATCAAAATTTATCTTGTAATTGTAGTATAAAGATCAGTGACATTATAATGTCTCCAGATCCTTAAAATAAAGTAGTAATATAGAACTAGAAAAGTTGGATACTTATATGATTAGAGAAAACTTTCTATTTCTATTTGTTTAACATTTGCCTCAATGGATTTCTGCTTCAAAATTAAATAATTATAAAAACAGATAAGAATATGATTAGATAATACAATAATTGTACAATTAAATAATTAAATTATAAAATTATTTATTAGTTATGGTATATGATAACGTAATATAAAATTTCGTATATGGTTCGTATATATATACAATATGATTATAAATTTTATCATTAAATAAAAAAAAAGAACTTACCCAAAAAAGCAAAAAGAAAATGCATCTGTTATGTAATTTGCACAGAATCTACCTTGAAAGCATTCCTCTTTTTGCTAGAGGATGACACCGAAAATAAATGGATAACAATATCTGTAACAAATTTTGAAAATATTTATAAAAAGATATTTGTAAACAAAAAAACTTATTACTTTCTTTACTTTTATTATTATTCAAGGCTAACTCGGTTAAAATAAAATCAAATAACTTTTTTATGCAAAACAACACAATATTACAAATTTGTTATATTACAATATTTAATCCTTTCTTAACAAAGCACGTTTTAAAATATTTCGTGGATTAAGAGTTTAGTATTTTAAAAGCCGGATTAATTATATACTAAATGATTAAATGAAATAAAAAAAAAAACGACACGAAAAAGTGTACCTAAACTCTCCTTATACCCTCTCTGGCCAGCCCTAAATACTGAAAATTCACTTATCAAATTGCATCGATGCTTTAAAATATGAAAACTTGTTATTTTGCGGGGTCGTAGAGCTAAAGTATGATATATAGTATTTTGATCAATAAAAATGCTTACATGTTCCAAAGTCTAAATATGTTCAAAAAAAATCAACTCCACAATCGAATTTAGTGGTTTCCCGAAATGAACTACCTAATAGAGCTAGTTCATTTGTAAATTACGCAAGTCTAAAGAAATGTTACTTAAAATTTTTTTAAATAGAATTAAAAATAGGAAAAAATTTATGAAATAGTTTTTTAAATTTAAATGACAAATATTAAAAAAAAATAATTTATTGAATATGACATATTCTTAAATTTTTTTTGTCGAATTCCTTAATATATTAAAGGCACCCGGACTCGTTAGTGTTAGTATAAAAAAGAATCAAAATGTTATAAAGTAAGTTAAATCTTTGCTTTTGAACTGTCCAGGATTTGCAAAAATGTGAAAACTTCAACCTAATGACAAAACGTGGACCACTTGATAGGTGTGGTGGAAGCGGGCCGATTATCGATAAAATAGTAGGACACTATACAAAAATAATATACAAAATAAAACAGCTGATATATTGAAAAATATAAAATACATTAGTTATAAAATATCATAGAATTTAACAGGTTTCTTACTCTCAACGGCAACATTTAGCCTGATGCTTTTAAAATTGAACTCACCAGACTCTATCAACAGCATAAAGCAACTCATCCCGAAGGAAGCTTCCTAAAGTTAAATTTGATTTAGATCTACTTGAGAAGGACGATGAATCAAGAGAGACTATCTGCATCGGCAATTCTACCAATTGAAGCGAAAATAGCAGATGGTGCAAATTTAATATAATCTTTAAAAAATTCTGTGAGGCTAAAAGCAGGAAACAGGAAAATTTTATTGATAAGCAAATAAAACTTTCATGGATGCTACTTCTTATTATTGAATGTTAATTATTGAATGTTAATTTATTTTTATAACTCGGTAATGAAAGGGACCTTGCAATTCTGATTTTGTCGACATCCAGAATTGATCCAACACTGTCACTGGTTACAACCGATCAGAAGGTACTGAACTTTTCAACTCAAGGCTGATATGCTATGGGTTGAGAGTTTTCTAGTATTAGACCGAAGTAGGAGCTCATTGACTTATATTTTACTCCAGACCCAGTTGATAGCCTGTTAGTCACAAAATATGTAACTAAGGGTCGCATCTGCTTACAAGTAATGTCGATATTCTGTCTCTTAGGCAGACCCATATTACTGCGCTGATAACGCTATCCAAGGTAACTCGACAGATATATCCTGCCTTAGCTTTATTCTCTAATTATATATTTTCGATTTATTTTCCTATTAGCTTTTTTTAATAATATTAGAAAGCTTCTCATCATTTGAGTTAAAAGATTTCGTTGAGAGTTCACAAAAACTATTGTTGAAATCGAAACACGACAATTAGTTTCAAGAATGAGGAGGTATTCATGAATATATTTCAACTTTCTGATTCTGTTATGTAGCGTGTAAATGCGTAATTAAACATTTTGACAAAACGTTAAATTAACAACGCACGACAATGTTAGCAACGCCAAATACAACATGGCGTGATTGAATTTCATTCTTTCCAGATACTGTTTTGCTTGTTCAAATATTGTAACCACAAACTAAAAAATGGTAAAAAGTAAGAAACAACAAAGTAGCAAAATGGCAACAAAAGCTCAAAACTAAACATTATGTATAGGCAATAAAATAATAATAATAGCTACAGCAGCAATAGCAAGAAACACAACAACAACAATGCTGAGATACAATAACATTGTTAGCAACTAAATAATAAACGCGTAAATGTAGAAAAGCAACAAAATAGATAACAACACCCAATTTATGTTCGTTTCATGAGTTTCAGTTGTACTCGTAAAAAACGTTATTTCAGATACGATAACACAATGGAACGCAAAATCTACAAGCGAGTTGGTATGAAGTGAAGGTAGCTAAAATCTGTTTATGTGCAAATAAGGCAGAAGGCGTGACATAACGGCAATTTCATTACTTTAACATAAGTTTTTTTTTTTTGTTTCAAAACAATGCTTTATATCCATGGTACGAGTTGCAATGACAATCTAGTATTAACGTGTGTTATATTAGTATATTTCTAACAAGATTCACAGCACTAACTATAAGCACTCGAAAGCGTTGTTTAATAGACGTTGGTAGCATTAAACGTTAGGTTTGTGGTAGTTGCTTGAGCAGAGTTTCTATTTTCAAGCTACTAACGTTATATACGAGTACAAAAAAATAATTTGATGTTGTTGAGATAAAGTTACTAACATTAACTAAACAAAATAATGTGAAGAACAAGCAGTCAACTAGACGGGAAAGGTGTGTTCAACATACCCATTTACGCGCTTCAATTATGCGTATTTCGAGTGTGTGGCCGTACATTGCGCACCGAAGCGTGTTTAACACACATTTAGCAAAACACATAAAGACCAACTACAGAAATAAAAAAAAATTTGGAATTAATAAAATTTTCTAAAAATGAACTTTATTTTTATAGGCCAGTGACAGTTGATCTTAGTACTTCTTCAAACACAACCATTTTTGTTGTATATATTAAGGTGCTTTAGCAGTTCTATGGCGCATAAATATTAAATTAACGATACATTTGTACAAACTTTAGTATGTTCTAATGTAAGTACATATGTACATACTAAGAATAACAAAAAATATTTCCTACTGTAATGATATAAATTGTATATTTGTCTTATTGTTATAGTTAATGCTACCTTGGGGCGAATAAATTTATGCAAAACACTTGTAACTCAGCACTTTGATATTATCAGCAACCAAAACTAACTACACTGGTTTTGGACAAATACAAATATAATATTTTGTGATGTATGCAGAGCAGTACCCATAAATGACGTAGAAAAATATATGTTGAGCTGATATTAACATAAAACTGTAATAAACATTATTAATTAATGTTATTTTAACATAAATTTTGTTTTGTTAATTAACGTAATGGAAATTCTAACAAATCGCTTTGATTTTCTTTGTTTTACTATTTATTTATAAAAGTCAGAAGCAAATGGAATTCCACAAAAAGTTAAAACTTCTCGAAGTTAGAAGTGTTCAAATAGAAATTCAAAGAGAACAACACAAAGTTTAGTTAATTTATTAAAATTTGGCTGACCATATAACGCTTTTTTGATTATTGCCAAGTAATCATCAACAGTGATCGTGGAAAATATTCGAGTTTTTTATAATGTTTATTGTCCGTATATATAATGTCTTTGGTTTGCAAGTTTCGGGCTTAGAACTCGTACCTGTGTTTTTTCTCAAGTAGCAAATGGTACTTATTTATATTATAAATAAATAGTAAAGAAGTTCCTTTTAAATAAATAATAAATAAAAACTTCTAGAAATCATAACAGCATACAAGCCCCAGAGTTAGTATAAAGAATTAGTAGGTGTTTAAAGAATCTATAAAATATGTAAATAATTTTTTTATAAGTTATATACTTCTAACATATTTACAAATATTTGTTAAGTCAACCAAACTATCACAAATTATTTCAACATTGACCCCTTATTAATTATTTTCATATATTACTACCATACCACTTTTGTAGATAAAGGTCTGAACCTGTCTGAACAGAACAAACACTCTCATCATATATATATACAAACTAGAATGTTAAAATTGTGGAATCTACTGCTTTACGAATACCATAGTATTACTTCTATCTTAACACATTATGAGCTGGGCAGGTATATGTATCCGTTGCGAGGATTGCAACTTAGGTATTAGTACCCGTTTAAAATAAGTAATTTTAAGTAACACAAGGGAAAAATAAAGTCTTATCAAATATATGACTACGTCTCAAAGAACGTAAAGTGAGATAGAAAAAATTCAGTCCATCTATATTTTAACCAATATTTCTCGCAACCACGTGTCTCCACAAATTCGTTTTATGCGTACAGTTTGCATTCTCAGAACAACTCGTATTTTTCTAATACTTTCTAATACTTTTTAAAGCAGTATAAATTTATTTAAAAATTTTGTTATTCAAAGACAATGAATTCTAATAGTGATAGTGAACAGAAAAATAAAAAATATGTTGAATAAATATGTTTTCATAATATTGTCGAAGACATAAAATACTTAACAAATATTGTATAAATGTTTTCCCATTAATATGCCGACCCATGCAGTACCACTGTGATTTATCATAATAGATAAATTTATTTAGATTTATCATAATTCCTTAGCATCATCTTAAAGAGTAATGTATTTACCAATCACGCATATTAGAACCAATGCTTAGTCTAACTTTGCTTCCTATGGCAATTTTAAACGCTTTACAATAAATAAGAGGTATTTCTGAATGAAAGTACTGATATTTCTATAAGCAACCGCTAATACAACCTAGTTAAGATTCCATAATATTATAAAATTAATGTAATTAATGTAATTATCTAAGCAACTTTTCGCTTAACTGATCGAATCTATGTCTGTTTTTTCACAAGGAAAATAGTAACGAAATTTATATAACTAACTCCGATACAAAATATTTGAACTTGAAGCGAATGTCCACTTAATGCATAGAACTTTTATAAATTAAGTCTTAGAGCATGTTTACAGATTCATTATTTCATGGAAAAATTATTTTAAATGTTAAACGTTCTGATTAAAAGGCTTAGTAAATAAAGCATGTTGATGTAATTGGGTTGAAGAAAACCCACTCAATTTTCATGAAATATATCAAGATCCGCAGATATTTGCAGTTTAGTGTGATTTTTTATCTGGAGGTGTAATTGGACAGTATTTTATTAAAAATGAATACGAATATAAAGTAACCGTTAACAGAAAATGATACAGAAATATGATTACTGATATTTTGTGGCACTAATTAAATATTTTTGACTCGAACGATAACTGGTTATATATTAATGCTTTTTTCAAAATATATTTTTGTAAATAACTAGCTAAGCTGCTATTTATTAGTTTTACATCACTCTATTTTACTTAATTAAGAAATTTACTTATGGCTACATCAATGAAAAGCAAATAATTGGACCGAACACGTTAAGTAGCGAAGCACAAATATACCATTTATAAGCACTAAATGATATTATTAATAATTTTCTATATTATTATTAACTGTACATGTAAAAATAAGGTAACCTCTGGTCTAATGAGGTTTTAATATCATATATGTACTATAATTAAGAAGAATTTTGCACTAGTATTCGTCATC